TACTAGGGAGGGGTATTACGACTATCAAGCACAACTGCCCTGTGAATGGGGATTTGGAATTTTGGAAAAAAACATCTCTTTTTTTAACACCCTGTAGTATAATGTCATGTACACAATATCGTATTCCCAAAATTAGACGTAAGTCAAAGAATCCACTATTGCTCATTTTTTGGACTAAACTGGGGAATAAGGACAATTTTCAAAAAATTGGCATATAATCGTAGTTAGCCAAGATATCCACAAAATCTCAAAAACGTTCCGAGGGATTACCCAACTTATATCAGGGAGGGGTATTACGACTATCAAAGTCAACTGCCCTATGAATGGGAATAACTTGAAATTTCGAAAAAAATGCATCTCTTCGTTTAACACCCTGTAGTATAATGCTATGTGCAAAATATCGTATTCCCAAAATTAGACATAAGAGTCAAAGAATCAGCTATTCAGAATTTTCAAAGATTTTCAAAATCGATTCAGTAATTTTCCAATAACGAGCTTTCAAATATTTTCCAAAAAACTAGGTGCGTCGTTTTTTATGACGAGCAGTTTATATAAATATTTAAATTTTTATATAACATAAGTAAAGATGGGATATTTAGGTACTAAAAACTTAAAAATAGGTAACTAAAAAGGTACTAAAAAAAGAATTTTAGGTTAAAAAAACAGCATTTTAGTTCAAGTAACATAAAATATTTTTTTTTATAAACTGACCAATAGTTAAATAAAGCTATAAGGAACTGAAAATATAACAGGGAATACCTGATATTTACCAAAATAAAAGCAAGAAGGAACTAAAAAATATGGAATACCTAATATTTACCCACTATGTAACTTTACTACTTGAGTAACAAATAAGAATCTTTTCTATATTTTGAGACGTAAGATTATGCCTTTTGTCACTTAATAAACTGACAAATTAAAAAATATGTAACAAAATTATAAAAAGGTAGTTTAAAGCAAAAACCTCCAAAAAAGGTAAAAAAGGTGAAAAAAAGTTAAAAAATTAGGTAACAAAAGTATAAAAAAGGTAGTTTAAAGCAAAAACCTCCAAAAAAGGTAAAAAAGGTGAAAACAAGTTAGGTTCATACAAAAGAAAATCTTTTAAAACACATTTTGGCATTATTGGTTTTCAAATAGTTACATCGGTTGAAAAAAGGTAAAATAACTAAAATCCCATCCCTAAACATAAGACATAGAATTTTCTTTAAAATAAACTATAAAATCTGAAAAATTATTAAAAACCCATTTCATAGAAACAGTCAATAATTAAAATTTGTGTTTATTTAAAGCAATAATTATACTAACTATAACAGTTATACAGTTGTATTCAATAAAAAAGCGTACAAGAATTAGAATGAGAGAAAACTGTCAAAATAATATTATTGCTTAAAACCGGCTTATCACTGACATAAGTCATTAAAATAATTACTATAGGTTATAAAGAGCATTGATGTCATAGGTTAATTAAATAATATTAAAAAAATTATTATCTTTTAGAAATGAAAAAAAACAAACATTAAAAAAATTTAATATTTAGTCATGCATCCCTGTTTTTCTATTATTGGGATTAACTGAATTAAATTTAATACAATATTTGGATTAATATCTTCCCAGCTGTATAGTAGGTATAATATAGTTGTATAGTTTCCCATAAATCCTCAGATATCCCAAAAAAGCAGCATCCTGTTCAGGGGTGGACATTTTGGGACGACCTGAACCAACTTTTTGGTTTAGTAAATCTTCCTGTTCCCAGCGTTTCTTAATTTTTAATATAGATTTTTTATTTCTATTATACAACTGCGCCACAGCATGAATTGACCATTCTTCTTCGATTCTTGATACTATTTGAGCCTTTTTAACTGACGAGGCATTTTTATTTTCTACTGTCAGTTATAATGACTTAAGTCAGTGGAAAGCCGGTTTTACGCAATAATGTTGACAGTTTTCTCTCATTCTAATTCTTGTACGCTTTTTTAATGAATACAACTGTACTTTACCTATCAATTTGATTTTATATGGTCGAATTTTCAAAAATTTGACATTTTTTTCAATCGCCCATAAGTTTTTAACAAATCAATTTGGACTTTTAATGTAGTTTTAAAAAAGTGAACAAATTATTTGCTTGTGTTGTCATGAGGTTTTGATTATTTTTTTTATTAAAGTCGCGTTTTATTGATATGTGGGTCCTCAACTTTTTTATAAAAACTAATTTTTTTTAATGATTTCAAATAACACACAATGTTAATAGTCGATTTTACACCTCAACAAGCTGATACTGGAGACTGAATATCGTCTGGAAGCAATTTCGTAGTTATAATAAAACCATATGTCGTATACGACATATGGTTCTATAGAAAAATAAACAAGGAACGGCAGATTTGCATTTCCATTTTCCTGCGAGATCACGCTGATGCATCTTGGGATTTGCAGGACCGTTTTTGAAATTGATTGATTTTATTTTATTTATTATCCACTTCACGAGCATTTTTACAAGGATTACGCACGTGTGTGGAAAATAAGCAGGTAATTAAAATGCAAAGGTGTTGTATCTTGACTATTTTCGTTGTAACTTGACACGTTCTTCCTAATTTTATGCAAAAAGGATTTAGTTACACCCTATAGGGTGTATTTTAAGGACCATTCTTACGTAGGTAGCTAATTATGTTTTCATCATAAAATATACCTCAAGGTATTGTTTTTACCACTCATAATTTTGAAACAAATATTTATATATTCGTCTACATTAATGTTGTCGCCTTCAAAATAGTCCCTATTGGATATTATGCACATGTGCCAGCTCTTCTTCCAATTCTCGAAACACTTCTAAAACTCGATCTTTGGGATAGCTTTTAGTTCTTTCAGCGATGCGCTTTTAATGTCATCTATGCTTGCAAAACGACGGCCCTTTAAGGTTCTCTTTATTTTTGGGAATAAGAAAAAGTCAGACAGAGGCATGTCTGGCGAATATGGAGGCTGGGGCATCATTACAGTATTGTTTTTGGCCAAAAATGTTGTTCAAAATTTAACAATTTTAGAACAAATTTTGCTGCCACGCGTTTCATACCCAAAACATTCGAAAAAATTTCATGGGATGAGCCAATCGATATACCAACATCATCAGCGATTTCTCTGATGGTTTATAACCATTTCTTCCACTTTTTCCATGTTTTTATCGGTTTTTAATGTGCTTGTGCGTTCGGGGCGTTCGTCATCTTCAACGTCTTCACGGCCATCTTGGAAACTCTTATACCACTTGTAAACTCTTGTTTTACTTATAGCAGACTCACTATAGGCCTTTGTTAACATTTCACAGAATTTATTTCATTTTTTAAGCAAAATTGGATACAAATTCTTTGATCCATTTCTTTTAACGAACGAAAAATCGCCGAGCTTATAAAAACACTTCTAACCTTAGCGGCTGCCAAAGACAAAGTAAGTTTTTATCATGCTTCAGGGGCATGTACACCAACATAATAAAGAAAATTTTATATATATAATTTTTAAAGGGGCCTTATTTTTACAAACTTTTTTGTAGACCCAGTAACAAATGTTGCTTTATTAATCAATTTCCTAAAGAGAAATATTAACAAATGCATAAATAAATGAACACAAAAAAAACATAATAAAAAAAACCCTGCCTATTATTTTGCTTAAGCAAAGCAACGACCTACCCACACACGAAAGCATACATAAATACATAAATGCAAATAAAAAACCTATACACTCAATTTTAATACCAGAGGAGATAAGGCTTATCAGTTTTTGCTTAAATTAATTAAGCCAAAGACTTAATTATGCAAACACACTTTATTAAATTTCCATCGGATCAGATAGGCTATGCATAAATTACAAAGAATACTATTTAATTGATTGATTTAAAATTGGCCTGGTCATTGATAAAAAATAAATTATAAATGATCGTGTCAAAATAAACGTTGCTATTAATTAGGTGGTTCTATCTGATTAACATAAAAAATCGAAATTTTTTTTGATATCTCTCAAAAATACAAACGGTATAAATTTATTGAAAACGCGCTAAATGATTTTAGTGATTTTTGGTGTATAGCAAAAAAAAGAAGTTTGTTTTAAAAAAGTCCAACAATTGCTTTTGCTACGGCAAAAAATCATTTTTATAAAAATTATTTATCTACAAACGCTGCTTTCAGTAATAGCATTTGCAATGCAAATTTTGCATTAATTATAAAGTACCTAAATATAGTTATTATTATTTGTCCAAAAAAAAAACAGTTCTATACCGTTTACAAAAACGTTTTGTAGTATTAATGAAACCCTAATGGTATTTTTCATAGAAATTTTGTAAATTTTACAAATCCCTTTTCGTTTAAAATAAAACTTTTTTATAATATTAATAAAATTTATGTAAATTTAACAACAAATTAATTGTTAATTCAATAAACTATTTTTATTGTAACAATGGTCACATTTTCAACCTACTGTTGGGTGTTGGGTAGTTTTGTTTAAATAATTGAAAGGCATTAAAACAAATTATTTTTTATAACAAAAAAATTAACTCATATTATATGATGTACAAAATAAAAAAAATATGAACTCACTTTTTAAACAACAAGTCGGCTTCGTTTGTAGAATAGACCTTAAATATTTCTTTTAGAAAACGTCGAAATTTTAATTTTCTTAGTGATCTTTTTGACATTTTTATCATGAGATTTTACCACACTTCACTCGCACAAGTGTAATCAATAAGACTGTGGATTATAAAGTTGTGTTCACCAAGGAGAGCGCTGGCCCTTTCCCCCTCTTTTTAAGGGAAATAACAAAAATTTTGTAACCACTGCAAAACAATGGTAAATATTAAATAAGTCTTTTTATAGCAATAATATATTTTTGTTATTGTTCTTAACGTAAGCTAAATTAGCTTTTTAAATATCTAAACATTCTTGGAAAAATTACATTTTTCGTTCTGGGATTTAAAAAATATTCAACAAATAATATTAAAACAAAATGCTTAACTTTAAACTCACCGTTTATGTTGGTTATTGGCATCGTGTACCGTGTATTGGAATTACTGTCATTCGTCAGAATGGGAGACCCTGAAAAACAATTGGTTTACATTTACTTAATTTTGAAAACCATAAATATTTATTGTCGCGTTATTAAGTACATAATACCTGCATAGTGGAGAGGCGGTTTAATTAATAATTCCACCATCAAATAAATTTGCTTTTAAGCTCGTCCCGATAAATAATTGATCAAGATACCCGATAGTACTACTTGATGCAAATATAATCTGTGTTTGCATAAATATACCTATGCATAGAATATCTGAAAATTATTAAGAATATCATATATACGAGGTGTGTTCAGAAAATATCGGGAATTTTCGTTTTTTGAAACAAATATTTATTTATTCGTCTACATTAATGTTGTCGCCTTCAAAATAGTCCCCATTGGATATTATGCACATGTGCCAGCTCTTCTTCCAATACTCGAAACACTTCTAACACTCGATCTTTGTGATAGCCTTTAGTTCTTTCAGCGATGCGCTTTTAATGTCATCTATGCTTGCAAAACGACGGCCCTTTAAGGTTCTCTTTATTTTTGGGAACAGGAAAAAGTCAGACAGAGGCATGTCTGGCGAATATGGAGGCTGGGGCATCATTACAGTATTGTTTTTGGCCAACAATTTTGTTCAAAATTTAACAATTTTAGAACAAATAATGCTGCCACGCGTTTCATACCCAAAACATTCGAAAAAATTTCATGGGAAGAGCCAATCGATATACCAACATCATCATCGACTTCTCTGATGGTTTACAACCATTTCTTCCACTTTTTCCATGTTTTTATCTGTTGTTAATGTGATTGTACGTTCGGGCCGTTCGTCATCTTCAACGTCTTCACGGCCATCTTGGAAACTCTTATACCACTTGTAAACTCTTGTTTTACTTATAGCAGACTCACTATAGGCCTTTGTTAACATTTCACAGAATTTATTTCATTTTTTAAGCAAAATTGGATACAAATTCTTTGATCCATTTCTTTTAACGAACGAAAAATCGCCGAGCTTATAAAACACGTCTAACCTTAGCGGCTGCCACAGTCAAAGTAAACAATGAAAACAGCCAAAGTTTTTATCATACTTCGGGGGCATGTATACCAATATAATAAAGAAAATTTTATGACAACCGGACCCTCTGAACCCGCGAAATTTAACAATTCCCGTTATTTTCTGAACACACCTCGTATATGATATTTACAAAAACGAAATAAAAAAATTACCTTAAAGAGCAATTTATCTTTAAAAAATATTTAACAATTTATGTTATTTGATGTAAAGTTGTTATATTTCTATAAAAATTGTATGTCCAATAACTATGGTCCATGTGTCCAATTACTATATAAAATGTCCAATTACTATACTTTTTTGCATGTTTTTATAAAACTATTATTAAAAATTCAAATTTTCTTATTTTTAAATAAACCTAAATGTATCCAATAACTATGTGGTTTACTCTAAGAAGAACCATAAAATATAAAAATCTTAACCCCCACATTACAAAAAATATATGAAATCAAAACCTCTACTCCATTTACCATTTTCCAATATTTAAATTTGATTAGGGTTTAAAATCCTGGCAAATATGGGCTTCGTTCTCATTTGTAAGGAAATATTCACGACGCGGCTTTGAATAGAATATTTAGGTAGGTGTATGGAGTATATTCATGTTTTATTTATTTAAAAGTTTCTGCTTGTTATAACAAAGTTATGAGCCTTGCAAGATTTTAGTTAATGTAATCTTAGCTTCATCTAATTAGCTTACATTTAAACTTTGCTAACTAAATAAAATATCCGTCAGACACAAATCATAATAATAAGTCTGGCAAATCAGTCTTAAATTTCATTACTACAAGGTATAATTAACATAAATGAAGCAAGAACATTTCTTATATAATTTATTTATTAAATGCAATTTAAATTTGACAATTGACAAAATGTCAGTTTTTTTTAAATTTAAATCTGATTTTTTTAAGTACCCACGATTTTTTAAGTAATATTTAAGTTTCCTTTGGTTTAAGGTTTATACATTATTTCATTCGGTGATAATTATCAAATGCGCACCATGGTCACTTTTTACCTGCCAGCATTAAATCCTTTAATTTAAAGGATTATTGTACCATTTTTAATAAAAATACCTCATTTAAGGTAAAAAGAACATTATTTTGTCAATTAATTAATTTAATCCTAATTGAGGCATAAAAAATGGTATTTGGTTATAAATATTAATTATTATTGAGGTATAAAGAAACTATTTATAGTTTAGCATTATTTAATCAATTTAGTTCGAAGATTAATTTGCAAACAAAAAGACCTCCTTTCGTTAAGCAGTTAATCATAATGATTTTTTAATACTGGAAGAAAAAATAGAAATGATTTTGATTTATGGAGAAGCAGGCAGGAATCTTGATGATGCTGTTAATATCTACGCTCAGCGTTTTCCGGATAAAATTCGATCACGTACTTCATTTCACCGCACAGTCAAGCAGTTTACTACAAACGGGAGTGTTCAACCGAAAAAAAAGTTCGTCGAGCAACAGTCACAGGTGGAAATAATGAAATTAATGTATTAGCAGCAACGGCCGCTAATCCTCATGCAAGCACACGAGAGTTATCCAGAGATTTGGGAATATCCCAGAGAATATTAAAACGAAATTTTTATTTTAAAATTTTTTTCTTAAAATGCATACTAACTGAGATATTTCAGTTTCAAGTTAAATGACTCACTCTGTATATTAAATGAACAAAAAAATACAATGAAGTGTTCATTTTGGCTAAACTTCAAAGAGCAATTAAAGATTAATTGTACAAAGGCATTTTTCGCATTCTTGACAGCGTTTAAGCACTTCAACTCAACAGTTAGTAAAATCTCTGTTGAATAAAACTGTGAACGTATGTTAAACGAAAAAGAGAAAAGGCAAAATAAGAGGGATAATTCAAAACTGCACACAAAGAGGCTAATTTTAAACTAGTACGTCAACAATTTTATTTATAAAAATAGATCTTATTTTGCCCTAATGAGCCACTACAGAAAAATAATATAAATACTTGTATATTTCAGTCTCTAAAATTAATATTATCTATTTTGTGTTCATAATGACTTCATTATAACACCGCTTTCGGTGCTGTAATGAGATACTTTATCCCACCCAAAATTTTGATTTTATAGGTTGGCTATACTTAAAACAGCACAATATTTTGCATATTGGTTATAATATTTTTATGATTTTTCTAGTACTTACGAGACTTTTCTGACAATAAATTTTGTTTAACACCAAAGAAAATCATTTTTTCCTTCTTTAACATTAACAGCCGCTTATTGTAAATAAGTAAATTAAGGACGGCATGGCGAATAGATTTTGACATTAACTGTCAAACCAATGACTGTGATACGAACTATCTGAAGTAAAATTCGACCAAATTAAATTTAAGGTATAAAATTATTTTGCAAAATACACTCACAGGCAAAATAATCGATCCACACAAATTTTCGATGAATTTCAATCGCAAATAACTTTTTTATTTGATGTCGGATTTAAACGAATATTAAAGAATATTGTAGATACATTAATGGAGAATCGCTCACATTTTAAAAATTACTAAAAAATACACGTACATTTATAATATACAGGTTTAAACAAAATGATGTTTTTTACCACAAGTTTAAGACACTCTGTAGAGTGGCAAAACCGTATATTGTTCTAAATTAAGTTTTAATTACCAAGTCACATCTAGTTTTAACAGTTTTGTTTTTGGTTCACCTTGATATATTTATTTTTGTGGAAAATATGGATTTTTTTAAAAAAACATTGCAATTTCCAATATTTTTCCTGTATGAAGAACTAAGGTTGCTATGGTCCATCCATAGCCTATGGAGGATGAGAGTGACAGTTTTGTTGAATCATCCCATACTTGGACATGTCATATATACAGCTTTCAAAAGCTATGAAATTGTTTTTTGTAAATTAATGTGTTAATTTTGAGGTGTCTTCTTACTTTTAAAAATGTCTCCCAATGATGTTACCCTTTGTACTTTACTTCTTGTGACGATTAAAACCCTTGCCACGTAATACTGTGACCGTCCATCCTGGATTAAATTAATGGCAACATCAGTCGGAGACATATCCATTTTTTAAAGTAAGAAGACACCTCAAAATTTAAACATTAATTTGCAAAAACAATTTGATAGCTTTTGAAAGCCGTGTATGACATGTTCAAGTATGGGATGATTCAACAAAACTGTCACTGTCATCCTCCATAGGCTATGGATGGACCATAGCAACCTTAGTTCTTCATACAGGAAAATATTGGAAATTGCAATTTTTTTTAATCCATATTTTCCACAAAAATAAATATATTGAGGTGAACCAAAAACAAAACTATTAAGAATAGATGTGACTTGATAAATAAAACTTAATTTAGAACAATATACGGTTTTGCCACTCTACAGAGTGTCTTAAACTTATGGTAAAAAACATATTTTTGTTTAAACCTGTATATTATAATCGTACGTCTATTTTTTAGTAATTTTTTAAAATTTGAGCGATTGTCCATTAATTTATCTACAATATTCTTTAATATTCGTTTAAATCCGACATCAAATAAAAAAGTTATTTGCGATTGAAATTTATCGAAAATTTGTGTGGATAGATTATTTTGCCTGTGAGTGTAGATAAAATAGCATAAAGAACTCATGTCATAAGACCTTTTGTCGCACTCGTCCATTACAAAATGACGTCTTATAAAATTAGTTCTTTAATAATATTATATATATATATTATATACTAATATATTCTTTAATCACTTTTTTAAAATCTTTGTATTATGTTTATGTTTTAATATATTTTTGTCGATGAATTCGATAAATTGCCATCTATCCCTTTTCTTTGGTTGTTTGTATATTGCATATAATATTATGGTTTTTTTTGTATTTTGTATTTAAAATAGTTTTTTCGTTTTTGTATACAATTCTTGATACAAATTTAAAAAAAAATGTTTTACAAAAACTCTTCAATTTTCCTTTATTTTGACCTC